CCAACGTGTACTGCTTTTAAAAAAGTCCAGTCATCAGATGAAGTTTCACTGCTGGTTGGGTTCCCATAAAAACTTTGCATAAAGTTTAATTCTCTTACAACACATTGAGATGTGACTTCCAAAGTCAAAGCTACAAAGTCATGCTTTGTAAAGAGAATGCTTTCACCTCATACAAACCAATGACATGAGGCAACCTAACATTCTGAGGGGCACATTTGGAGACAATATGTTATCATCATATTTCTAAAAATGAGTTTGCTTCAAAAAAGAGATAATTGGCACATAATCCTGAATCTCTGACAAAATGAGTAACTGCTCCAATGCCCAGGCAGCCCCTAGGAATCAAACTCTAGTTTTGTGACAATAAAAATACATCCTATGTATTCACATCCACAAACGACGAAGTTAAAAAATTGCTAGGATGAGCACTCTTTTCAAAGTCTAGCCTCAGAATAATGATTAAACTAGAAAACAAATTGTTAATGCTATATTCTCTCTTATTATAGATGGAAAGGAACCTTTAAAGTAATAAGAAAGATGGGGCGCCTGGGTGGCGCAGTCGGTTGAGCGTCCATCTTCAGCCAGGTCACGATCTCGTGGTCCGTGAGTTCGAGCCCCGCGTCGGGCTCTGGGCTGATGGCTCAGAGCCTGGAGCCTGTTTCCGATTCTGTGTCTCCCTCTCTCTCTGCCCCTCCCCCGTTCATGCTCTGTCTCTCTCTGTCCCAAAAATAAATAAATGTTGAAAAAAAAATTTAAAAAATAAAATAAAGTAATAAGAAAGAAATAAGTGTTAATCAATATGCAAAGTAGTGTGGAGACTAAACAAGAAGTCACAATCTGTAAGATGGGAGTTTATAGCCCATTGCAAAAACATGTGCATTCACCTTCTCCTTCCCTCCTCTCCCAGGAGAAAACATCAGAAAACAGGGAAATGGGACATGTGGTAGAAAGAGTGAATGCACTGTGAAAACAAGTGGGAAACATTTTGGTTGTTGACTCTGTAAAATAATTTTGCCTTTAGGATCTTCATACCTGTGAGTTTCTAAAAATGTTTAATTTTTCAGTCTTCCATTCAGGCTTAACAGTTGCTTGTGCTTGGGAGGTGTTTCAGATCTAAAGAAAAACACTAGAGCAAAAGCCAGGTGCTTTGCTTGTGTGTGAATTCTCAGAATTCTGGGAGTACAAGGATGAGAAGTCAAATGCTATAGATAACTTTATGGAGTTTGTTCTTACTTACCCAGAAAAAATGTCACAGTTTCATTCTGCAAATTAACTAATGGTGCTATATTCAAAATCTTTGTTGTTCCCTGTTCATTATACTTACCGTAAATATTTATTTGAATTTGGATTGATTTAACAAGCTGATAGTTCAGCTCCAATTCACTCAGCCTGATAGGTAGGTCATAAAAGTGATCAATTTATGAACACCTTCACTGTTATATACCATTATGTCTTTCTAAAATGGCTTCTCAACTCTAGAAAACCAGATCTTTTCCGTTGTATACTTCTTGCCTCCCTTCCCCAGGTAGGTTCTATTTCAGTAGATTAGAACAAATCTAAATGTGATAATTAACAATTAAATATGACTAGATAATGAATGCTTGGCATGAAATTGCCCAGTCTACCCATGGTCCTCACAGATACCACTCAACCCAGGATAAAATCGAATAGACCACCTTGTATGTCACATGTGCAATACTTGAATGAGTTCAGGGTCTGCAAAAATTAAAATCAGAATAGTCTTCACCAATATAGAAAAATGTGTAGTCTCACTAGTCTTTAAAAACCTGCAATTAAATAATCCTTGTATAATTTAATTTATCCTTTTATTTAAAAATAATAGTGTGTATTTATTAAACTCTATTTAGTAAGCAATTATCTTAATATGGGCGTATTTATTAAATGTCCATTATATCTCTATTAAAACCATTATAATGGTGCTAGTAAGTGTTTTGTAAAATAGGCCCTTTCATAAGCTAAATTTGTGAGTATAAATAGATTCAACCTTTCTGGAAGATAATTTAGCAATATCTATCAATAGCCTTAAAAAGAGTCATAATCTGTGATACACTTCTGGAAATCAGTTACCAAAGAGACTGAGTTACAAAAATGACTGTGGAAAAAAAATGTTCCCTAGAGAATTATTTATAATAGCAATAAATAAAAAGGCATTACTGCCCTCATAAATAAGAACGGAAAAGTAAAACCTGGTACAACCAGATGTTTGTATTTTATGAAAATATTAATTTAAAATAATGCTTTTAATTTTTCTTAACGTTACTCATTTTTGAGAGACAGAGAGAGACAGAGCATGAGCGGGGAAGGGGCAGAGAGAGAGGGAGATACAGAATCTGAAGCAGGCTCCAGGCTCTGAGCTGTCAGCACAGAGCCCGATGCAGGGCTTGAACTCATGAACTGCGAGATCATGACCTGAGCTGAAGTTGGACGCTCAACCAGCTGAGCCAACCAGGTGCCCCTAAAATAATGCTTTTAAAGAGTTCATTATAGGAAAAATTTCACAAAGTATACATAGGATAAGTTTTCATAAAGTTATGTGATCACAATTGTGCAAAAAAAAAAAAAAAATTAAACTACTAAAATGCAGAGAAAATAAACCCAGGAAATAAATCAAATAAACCAACGAACAAAACCCATACAAGTAAAACCTAGGTTTATGAGAATAATTCATTCCAGAAACATGCTTGTAATTCAAAGCATATCAAAGCAAATTTCAAGAACCATTGGCTCAGTTGTGATCATGAGACATTTGGCCTCATGTACTATTTGTATTACAAGACATCACTCATTTGTTCAAGTTAAAATTTATTAGCAATGTTTGTTCATCTTGAGAACACTCACAGAACAAGTTACTCACAATCCAAGGTTTTACTGTGTATTTAATAAGTAATGTTACTTTTTCTTCCTAATTTTCTATATTTTCCAAAATGAATTTGTCGATTTTTCTTTATGGTATAAGAGTCCCAACAATTATGAGTAGTCATTTTTAAAAACCACAAAAACAATGAACTTGGGTTAAGGTAGGTAAGCAAAATTCTAACGTCATTTTGTAGCAAATGCCTATGAAGAAACTGGAAAAAAAAAAAAAAAGTGCCACGGTGTATAGGCTAATAGTGATTTCGTGTTATTTGATGAGTGGTAAAACTTAAAGTATTCTTCTACTTTCTATATTTAAAAGACCATGCATTTTAGTGTATGCATGGATGTATATATTCATGTTTGTGTAAATATAGACAGTCTGACATTTTTATATAGGTACATACCTTTTTTTTAATGTTCCTTCTCTAGTGGAAGGTAAGAGAAGATTGTGTTAATTTAGTGGAGCAAGAACCTGCAGTGGTTTAAGGACCAACTTCATTTTTCACTGTGGTTGATCTGCTTCTCAATTGCAGCTCTAAGCCATTTTTTGTTAGCTTTTCTTTAAAATGAGATTTGCAGCTACAGTGGAGGAAATTCAAGTGAGATTATAGTTGATTATGAACTGGCTTCTCAATTTTGAGGAAAAAAACACATGAGAAGTATTTTAGAACAAAGTTTGATAAATTTATTTTTGAATTGTGACATCTGGACTATCAGGCAGTTGTGGGGTTTTTTTGTTTGTTTCCCCTTTTATACACATTCTACAGCAAAATATAATTTAAAATAAAAGAAAAAGTTAATTGTACTTAAAATATGTTCCTATGGGTACAGGATGTATAAAATACTATGAATAGGGGCACCTGGATGGCTCAATGAGTTAAGCAGCTGACTCTAGATTTTGGCTCAGGTCATGATTTCGTGATGATGAGACGGAGCCCCTCACTGGTCTCTGCACTGGGCCTGGAGTCTGCTTAAGATTCTCCTTCTCACTCTGCCCATCCCGCATATGCTCGCTGGTGCTCATGCTCTCTCTCTCTCTCAAAAATAAAATAAAATAGAGGCACCTGGGTGGCCAGTCACTTAAGCATCTGACTCTTGGTTTCAGCTCCAGTCCTGATCTCATGGTTCCTGAGTTCCAGCTCCACTTGAGATTTTCTCTCTCTCTCTCTCTCTCTCTCTCTCTGCCCCTCCCCTGCTCACTCTGTCTCTCAAAATAAATAAACCTCAATAAGTAAGTAAACAAATAAATAAATGAAATAAATTTAGTTACTATGCCACTTTACACTACTACTTTTTAAGTTGAAAATTACCAACAAGTCATGATGTTATAACATAGATGATTCAGCATTATGTATTCACCTGTTTCATAAATAGACTTTAGAATTCAGAACCTACTCCCTACTCTTTGGAAAATGGAGACATGTATGCACGTCCTACTTACATGATGTTTTGGTTGACAATGTCTGACTTTATTTATTTTTTTTTTAATTTTTTTTTCAACGTTTTTTATTTATTTTGGGACAGAGAGACAGAGCATGAACGGGGGAGGGGCAGAGAGAGAGGGAGACACAGAATCGGAAACAGGCTCCAGGCTCCGAGCCATCAGCCCAGAGCCTGACGCGGGGCTCGAACTCACGGACCGCGAGATGGTGACCTGGCTGAAGATGGACGCTTAACCGACTGCGCCACCTAGGCGCCCCGACAATGTCTGACTTTAAATCCCAGCAGCTCTGCCATCTTACATCTATTTGGGTTAGCGAGTCACTAGCTTTTTAGAATGTGGGGCTCCTCAACTGTAAAAATGGAGACAATAATATATACTACCTCTCTGGGCTCTTGTCATAGTTACATTAGAAAAAGAAGTGAATGCACTTTTGAACCAAGAAACATAGCAGTACAGTTGTGGCAGATTGTTACAATACTTGTCCTAGATGAATCACACCTCCCTGTGTCCACTGCCCTTTAAAGTGGGACTGCCATGCTTTCCATCAAGAGATACTGTTTCCTCACCCTTAGACTGGAGTTGAACCCCTATCTTATTTTTATCAAGAGAATGTAGTGGGAGAGGCATGTAACTTGCTAGGCTAGCCTTCCTATATAGCCCTCTTCATGCTCAGAGACCACCATAATCTAAAGAAGCTCAGGAGGTGAGACTCCATGAAGAGAGGAGCCCAGCTGCCCCAGTCTCCAGCGATCCCAGCTGAGGCCTTGATGAGTCCCGCTGGAGAACCCTCCCTGCCTCAGAGAGCCTATCTGCTGGCTACAGTCACATCACTGACCCAGGTGAGACCAGGAGAACTGCCCAATCAGCCGAGAGAATCAGGAAATAGAATAATAGTTATTATAGTAATTATTGTCTGATTTTAAGTCACTAACTTTGGGGGGTTTTAGTCATTTAACTGAGATTCCAGTTTTTACACATTATGATTATGCATAATCTTTCAAAATTCCCTTTTCATTCTTTTGCTTCTAGTGACTATTTTCCCATTTACTGTCCAGATGGACTTGAGTTATTTGTTCAAAATTTCCAAATACCACCCTTCTAAACTATAAATGGGAAAGAGCCCAATTATGCTGAATACTTACGTACTTGTTTCGTGAAAGGCTCAAACAAGAAAATATATGGGAAGATCATTTTTCAACTATGTAATGCTATCCAAATATAAAGTTATATAAAAAGATGAAAAATTTATGCATGAGAATGTTTCTGAGAAAGACCAATGTATTTATTTGAGAAACTTCTGGGAGAGGAGGCATTCTTAAGGTCCTACTCAAGATGGTGGCTAGATTAACAATTTACAGATCCTTGGGATTAGAGGTTCAAAAATATTTTTAAGATTTTTTAAAAAATATGATACAAAAAGTATACATTATATAACAGTGACTTTAATATCTATCTAGTAAAACCTGTTAATATTCACATTATCCTTCAAAGGAGTCAGAATCACATCAGCTAGAGGATACTCAGTTTTACCTAGCCTGGTGATGACTGGAGCTCAGACATCTTGAGAAGTTAGGGCTTTATCTGAATTGCTTTGTATTTCAGAATAAAGAGAGCAACTTGAATTGGTTGAGTAGCATGGGTTTGAAGTCAAAAGTAGAGAAATGTATAAGGGATGAAAGGAACCTGATGCCACGTACTTTGTGGAAACGGGAATTAGAAATGTCCTCACTGCTACCCTCTAGTGGTGATGTGGCATAGGGGCCTTTGCAGGACTGACCTGTCTCTGAGGATTCTAGGTGGTTCCTGTAGATTGTGCAATGGAAAGCCCAGCTCCGGCTCCCTCATGCAAATTCCAGGATAATTTACATTACTAAGGAATTTACGCATTATGGATTCTTTGAGGGAGGAGAGAGGTGAGGAGTGGCACAGAAAGAGAAGCAGAGATTTATATACGACTTGATATACATTAAAAATATAGGCAAGGTACATACGATGTATATGCACGGGAGCTGGAAGACAAGGATTTTTAACATCTGTGGTTCAGTCATTATTATCATATGGGCTGAAGTGTAAAGTCTGTAATGGCTTTCAGAGAGTCCCATAATTTTCCCATATGCTAATTCCAAGCTCATGGGATAAATCTTTAGAAAGTTTTGCTCTTGTCTGTCTGCAAGCAAAGCAAGAATAGATGAATTTCAATAGGGATATCTCAAGTGTAATTGGAAAAATTCACAAGTTACTCTTTCAATAATAAGTCAAAACCCTGAGAGAATATTATGTTTATCTATAGGTATTTTGAAAAGGATCAATAGTTGGCCCTCATCTCAGACAAATTATATCACAATCTTGATGGAAGGGAGTGGCATTTGTATTTTTAAAGCTCCCCAGATGATTGTATTATAGAGCTTGGGGTGAGAAGTACTACTTTGAAAGGATAGAAGATTTTAGTGTCAGCATTACAAGACTGAAGACAAGAAAGAGGCACTTGGGAATCCACATAGACTTTTCTTTGAAGCTGAAGCCAAAGACATCAGCAACCTAGTTGCCATCATCAGAAATTATTTTTTTCAGAAAAAAGCAAAAGTCACAGATTTACTCTTCAAAAATGGTAGCCTATCTGCATTTGGACTATGGTATGCAATTCTGGTCACTGCATTTTGAAAAACGTGGAATAGATTTAGAGAAGCACAGCAAATCAAAGAAAAGAAGACATAAAATCACTCTAATCAAGAAGACTGAAGGGGTGAATCTAGAAGAATAAGAGCCTCCTACTGAAGAACGCGAATTCAGGACATGTTTACCCAAATGTGCTAAACTAAAACCAAGGGGATTTTAGGACACATGGAAAAGACATGATTAAGAAAAAAATAGTAACAGGATATAGTACATGTGTGGATGGATTTATATATCATATTAGAATGGATAATCCTAATTCTTCACTAACATCACTTTTCTCCTCTTTGGGACAAGTAGCTACACACAGTTGCCAGCTTCTCTTGCAGTTCTATGTGGCCCTGTGATCCAGCTCCACCCAATAGAAGTATGCTACTTCCGGGACCAACCTAAGGAATTCTGGTATGTACACCTCCATGGGTGACAAAGATGGAGACTAGGGTTTATATGGATTGAAGATGGCAGAACCATTGGGTAGATTCCATTGGGAGAGTTTCCTCAATGACCACGTATGGAATTCTGCCTTTCCACCTAAGACCACCTTCCCTGGGACAGTTTGTGAGTGAGGGAGGAGGAAACATATATATTATTACAGAGATACTTCTATACAGGAGAAAGTAACACCAATAAAATACATTCCCTCCTTATCCTTTCCACATCAGTGATCCCGATTCCACTTTTCTTTTGAAATAGCAAGACACAAGACAGGTAAATCTGGGTGCTTCAGTGACCCTTGAAAATGCCATGCTCACTTTTTCTCCAGTTTCCTTTTTTCCTCAATCTGGCAAGATTGTCCTCTCACCCCGATCCATCTATGCATTTCCCCTGGCCAAACCCATTCACCATCAGAAGACCTTTTCCTATTGTGAAGCTGCTACTGTTCTCAATCATTATTTGAAAATCTTACTCATTTGGCATTTTTTTACATATAGTCTTCCTTTCTTTGGTGAACTGTTTCAGAACTGAGTTTTTCAAGTAATGCAACAATGTTTTTATTTCTCTTGCCATCCCATCAGTATCTAGTGCACAGAGTGAATGCCCAACCAACAGACATCAAATGCCTTACTTAATGAGATGTCTTCAGGTTAAAAATGTGAATAATGCAAAACAGACATTAGGTTATTTTGTGGGGGACTTCTATAAATGAGAAATAAGGGAAGGCCTTCATTGAGGTGAAGGAATCCTATAATACAATTTTTAACTCATAAATATTATATATTTAATGTATCACCAAGGCACTCTGTTAAGTATCTTATATATGTTTTGATCTCCATTAATCCTTCTGAAAGTTTTATTATGTAACTATTGTTTTGTCCATTTTATAAGTGAAAATATAGAGATTCAGGAAAGTTATTTCAATTTCTTAAGGTCTTTTAACCAGCAAATAACAAGAGAGAATTCAAACCTCACCCAACCTGAATCTTCTACTGACTGCTTTCCTCACTTAAACTATCTTCCATTTCTAATTGTAAAAGATAGTTCCTGCTAAAGAGCGCATAGACTCATGGGGTGGTATATCCTATGGCCACTGTCAGAACTTGGATAATACACTTAGTATACTGGAAGTACATATACTTTCTTTAACAAGCTAACCCAAAAGTATAATAAGTGGAAAATGGCATTTGGTCCTTTGTCCAAGAAATATTCCAGGCAGCCAAAGAGAATAAAAATAAATAAGGATATTGAAAAAATATATAATGAAAGCACTTCTCGTTATTCGGATTTTATAGTAGGATTTAATAATAAATTGTCTTTATCATTATCAATTTATCATGTTTTATTTGCAGTTAGGGCTAGATGCTTTGACTTCAAATCAGACGGCAAGAATTTTATGTTCACCATTTCAGGAGCCATTTGGGGAATGTTTAATTTTATTCCATCCAAGCTCTAGATTTGCCAGGTTAATTATTGATGAGTAAGCGGAGGATGGAAAGGATTTTATATAATCCTGCCTGAGGCTTCCCATGTCTTCCCCCATCCGACTTACAGCTCATATAAAAAGATAAGTGTCTGCTCTTGGCAGATGGTCCATAACCTGCCTATAATAATAATACTTCATGTTTTTCATTTATTGCAGGGATCTCAAACTTTTGAAAACCAACAGCCATACAACACTGCAACAATCATCATAGGTCTGTTTTACAAATGGTTAACCTGTAGAAGTGAATCAATGAGCCAGACTGCAGCATACTCTTGAGTCATTTACACCTGCCACCAGAGAAGTTTTATTTTTCACACATGTTATGCTCATCATCCATAAGACCAAAGACCTACCAACCACAGGTTCAAAATCTCAGCTCTGCAAAGAAAAAAGAGTAATTGTATCAATCTACTAAATGATACTCCAACGTAGATAACCATGGTCTTTTATGGATTTCTTTGCCATTCTTGACAGGAAGTGGTAGCTATTTTTAATCATACAAACTTAAAGACTAAAACAGAAGCTATTAGATTTTCCAAGGAGGAAAGCCCCCTTCTGAAGAGAACAATACAGTTTCTTTCTTGTCATCTTATGGGTTTCATTCCATTCTCAAATGCATCCTGAGGAAAGATGAACTGACAGGCACCAGAAGCAAGGTCATACCTTTTAGATCACCAATTTGCTTTAGGGGACCTAGAAGCCCATCTTGGAATCATCTCTCTTGCCCACCTGTGTGCCTGCCTTACCAGCCAGAGATGGTCTCCAGGCAGAGGCTTCCTTCATTCAGCAACCATCCTGAGCACCCACTATGTGTGCATGCTAGAAATACAGTGATATACAAAGGAGTCTCAGTTCGTGTTTGTGAAATGAGTGTATAGTGTAGTAGGGAGACACACAGTAGGTAATTACACATGTCTTACTATCAAAAATAGCAAGCTAGCTGATTTGGACAAGACTTCTTACTGAAAAGAACTAAGAAATTGGTCAAAATGCATTCAAAGGAATATTAGTGTGAATTAGAGCTGAAAATACAGTGAAGGAAGATGAGAACCTGCAAGTTGCTTCTGCACTGAGAGCATTTGCTGATTTGGAAAAAAATTCAACTCTCCTTCAAACAGCCTCAGTGAGCAAGGAGGACGGAAATAAAAACCCAGAGTCTGCAAACAGTGAAGGGTCTGACATGAGATCCTCCCCAAATAATAAGCTGGAACACGAAAGGGCTACAGGGCAAGGGTGAACTGGAAAGGTATCACTTCTTTCTTTAAATTGCCTAAGTTCTGCAGAAAACAGTCTCAAATTTCATCTCTCCAATATTAAAGTGGCCTCCAGGTAAAAGGCAAAAGCCAAAGGAAGTCTTATCTGGAGGAAGATACTTTCACCGTAGACCTCTATAAATTTCTGTTCTTTCAGGGAAAGAGGAAGACAATGCTTAGATTTATGGTTGTTTCAGGGGAGCTGGTGAAATGTAGCTCAAGACTTTTGGAATAGTTCAGGAGAAGAATGGGAGAAGAAACTAAAGCGAGTGAAATAAAACAACACTGAGTAGTAAGAAGAGCCCAAGTGATCCTTGAGCCAGAGATTGTAACATTGTCTATGATCCTTCTGGGCAATGTATGCTTCCCGGACCTTCGTCATCAGCACCATCTGAGAGATTATGGGAAATAGACTCTCAAGCCTGACCCCAGACCTACGGAATTGGAATCTGCATTTTAACAAAATCCCTAGGTGATTCGTATGCACATTAAAGTTTGAAATAATGAATGGGAATAATGAAACCTGATCTAGATCAGTGAGAATGGGAAAAGAGAATGACTGTTAGATATGTAGCTGCTGCCCATTACGATGTTAGAGGCCATGGGTTGGCTAACAGACTCTGTAGTTTCTAACTTAAGCACCAGAAAGATGATGCTTCAACAGGCTTTCAAACCCCACGGCATGCACAAAGCCATTAGGAAGGCAAATGGTATTACACAATTTTTTTTGTCCCACTTGTTGCTTTGGCTTAGAGAAAATGGACAGAGTTTCCATGTGATTTGAGTGGAAGTGTAATTGGAATTCAGTATCTTGAGTCTGGAACCACTAATTGTTCTGCTGAGCATAATATTGGACAAAGTATTTTCCAAGTATGATGAGCAAAACTAAATCCAAAAAAAAAAAAAATCAACTTTCCAGGAGATGGTTGGAGTCAGCCAGCCTCTGCTCCACTGTAACCATGTGGGATAAAAAAAAAGGCATGATGAAAAATGCAGGTATGTCAGAGGATGTGCAACAGGACTTGCCAGAGCAATACAGCACAGACGATCTTGCAACCTATGCGGAGATGGAGTTTGACAAGAAGTACATCCCATTCTGGCAGTGCACCATGAGGAGAACTGGAGAGAGTAAGTGATACACGAAACCAAATACTGTATCTGCTTCTACCTGGGACAAGTGGTCATTCACCTGTACAAACCTAGTAAAATGCTTGGACTGTGTCATGTTTGTTGTGATCAATCTAAAATAAGGACTGCAGCCTAAATTCCAAATACCAGAGAATGAAATCATCATCCTTGCTAAGAAAACACTTTGACCTCTGGACCTTTATTATGTTGCTTTGTAGAGGGCATTCTCTGTACTAGTTTGTTTTTTTTTCCCCCTCTCTCTCTTTCCTTTTTTTTTTTTCATACTAGTTTGTTATAGTTATAAAACAATTAGCAAAATAAGTAAACAAACAAAAAATCCCCCCCAGAAACAAAAAACCAAAGAAACAGTAATCTGAAAGATATATGCACGCCTGTGTTTATTGCATCATTATTTACAATAGCCAAGATATGGAAGCAAGCCAAGTGTCCATTAATAGATGAACGGATAGGGGCGCCTGGGTGGCGCAGTCCGTTAAGCGTCCGACTTCAGCCAGGTCACCCTCTCACGGTCCGTGAGTTCGAGCCCCGCGTCAGGCTCTGGGCTGATGGCTCGGAGCCTGGAGCCTGTTTCCGATTCTGTGTCTCCCTCTCTCTCTGCCCCTCCCCCGTTCATGCTCTGTCTCTGTCTGTCCCATAAAAAAAAAAAAAAAAAAAGTTGAAAAAAAATAGATGAACGGATAAAGAAGATGTAATGCGCGCGCACACACACACACACACACACACACACACACACACGCACACACACACACACTGGAATATTTCTCAGCCATAAAAAGAATGAGATCTTGCCATTTGCGACAACATGAATGGACCTAGAGGGTATTATGCTAAGTGAGATAAGGGAAGACAAATACCATAGGATTTTGCTTATATGTAGAATTTAAAAAAAAAATAAATGAGCAAAAAAAGAAACAAACAAAAACAATTTGGACTATTAAATACAGAGAACAAACTGATGGGTGCCCTGGAGAAGGTGGGGAGGGAGATGGGTAAAATAGAGGCAATTAACAAGTACAAGCTTCCAGTTATAAATTAAAAAATTAAGCACAGAGATGAAAAGTACAGGATAGGGAATCTAATTAATTTTTTTTTAATTTTTTTTTAACGTTTATTTATTTTTGAGACAGAGAGAGACACAGCATGAACGGGGGAGGGGCAGAGAGAGAGGGAGACACAGAATCGGAAGCAGGCTCCAGGCTCTGAGCCATCAGCCCAGAGCCCGACGCGGGGCTCGAACTCGCGGACCGCGAGATCGTGACCTGAGCTGAAGTCGGACACTTAACCGACTGAGCCACCCAGGCGCCCCGGGAATCTAATTAATTTTTAAAAATTAGCCATATTTTAAAAATTAGAGGCATTCCTGGGTAGCTCAGTCTATTTAGTTTCCAACTCTTGATTTTGGCTCAGGTCATGATCTCATGGCTCAGTTGGTGGGTTCAAGCCCCACTTGGGGCTCTGCACTGACAGTGCTCCTCCGGTAGTGACTAACATTACAAGCCAGTTACTGGAAGCTAAATGTAGCCCATATTCACATAGTAATCTGTACGTGCTATTCTTTTTTTAGTTGGAAGATCTTCTATTAAAAAATTTTAGATGTCATGCTTCCTTGGAAAATTGAAACTGACCGCCCTGAGCCCATTCATGCTAGGCAACAGTCGACTGGAGTAGCAGCTTTCTCCATTAGGTCTGCTCCCACCTGACTTCTTAGTTTACGTTCCCTGCCTCCTGTAGACATTTTGTGTTTGACCACGCCACAGTCTCCATTTCTCCACTAGAGGAGACACTATCTTTCTACCAATTAGAGATAACTAATGAGGGCTTATAAAATTTGAAACTGATTGTAGACCTATCAACAGAACTACATTTTTAAAAGATGGACAGTGAGATGTGCAGCATGTTAGAGGTTTCACCCACATTTTCTTCTTTGCATCTCCACTGATTCCTTTGAGCTCATTGGTTTGTGTGCCTGAATAATAAGTAGTGACAGGTTGAAGTTTTTCTGTATCTTTGTCAGAGTTGCAATTAATAATCATGTAAGTAGAATAATAGTGATGACATTATGGGGGGTGTAAAAAACCTTCTTTAGTCATTACCTCCCAAAATAATTTCTAATAAACGTCATACGTGAACTCACTTATTTCTAAAAATCTGTTTGAGGTCAAGAGTTAACGTTGGCTTTTTTTTTTTTTTTTTTAATGATCCCTTGTCTGGAGTTTCTAAGTTCTCCAGAACTTACTACCCACTTTTAGAAGTAGCAATATTTTAAAACCCCTTATAGATAATGTGATAGATTAACATGCCATAGATCTGACCATAAATTCAATAACAAAATAAAATTCTATTTAACCTTTAGGGCCTACAATCTATTTTTTAACTTTTCAGAAAAAAATCTGGCCCAAGCCAGAAATATAGGCCACTTGAGACACCTTCCTTTCCTGAAGATTGTTAAATTATACACTGTACAATTTCTAGCACAAATATCCTTTCCTAACTTATGTTCCCCTTGATCCTTAAGTGAACTTTTTTCCATTCTAAGATGTGTCTTATATTACCTCTTAATAGATGCTTAGGCATCGCCAGGTCTTGTGTTCTCACCCCTGTCCCAGTCTATCCAAATCCTACCCAGGCTTCATGGGCCTTCTCAAATGCATAGCATTCATGAAATCATCCCTGCTTATTCTATTACTTTCTATACATTTGGTATATGTCATGCACCAGATTGAAATAGTATTCCTCTTGTTTTTTTTTTTTTTTAACATTTATTTATTTTTGAGAGAGAGAGAAAGACAGAGCGCAAGCACAGGAGTGGCAGAGAGAGAGGGAGACACAGAAGCCGAAGTAGGCTCCAGGATCTGAGCTGTCAGCACAGAGCCTGACATGGGGCTCCAAGTCACAGACCATGAGATCATGACGTGAGCCGAAGTTGGACCCTTAGCTTAAGTGACTGTGCCACCCAGGCACCCCACCTCTTGTTAAGTTTTAACCCCTTTGCAATGTGTTGCATCCTGTGTGGACTGTACCCTATATTTTTTTTCCACAACATTGCTTTCTATAAGAAAGAATCTATAAATACCCACTGACAGCCAAGTTCTGAGATTTAGCTTAAAGCAAAGATCCTATATCATCAATTTTCTCTCCATAAAGAATCTTTCCCATCAGCACACAAACATACTTCCATTCCTAGAATTTTTTTTTTAATAAATTCTCTCTTGACCTTATTTCTCTCTCTAGCTATAACCCATTTCTGTGTTCCCCTCTATAGCTGAACTGATGATCTCCCCCAGTGTTTTTGAATTTAAATGTTCAGCCTATATAATATCTAATAGTTATATCAAATTTAGCATATTCAAAATCAATACTTATTTCTACCCTGACCCAAAACACGACTCATGTTGTGTGCCACAATTCGTTTAACAGTAACTTTACCCCTTCAGTTGGTAAAGTCAGATTTCTTTGGATCATTTTTGACTCTTATCTTTCTCTTGTACCTAATGCCAATCCAGTGGCATATTCTAGTGTCTTCAACTTCAAAATTGATCTGAAATCCAAACACCTCTCACTTCCCACACTGAGTATGATTACTCACGCATCTCCTGCTTGGATTATTGCCATAGCCTTCTCTCTGTTCTGGTAGTTTCCACCCTTGCCTCACTTTTTTTGCTACACAGGAAGTGACCAGAATGCTGCTATCAGATCATGTCACTTGTCTGCCTCATAGTCATCCAGTGACTTCCCAACTTAATTAAAGAAAAAGGCAGAGATTTGCCAGGGCCTAGAAAGTCCTACATGATATTATACCAACCCTTTTTACCTCCTAGTACTCTCCCCTTTATTCATATCCTTCCAGCCACATTGGCCAACTTGTTTTTCAAACATACCAGCCATACTTATGCTTCAGGTCCTTTATACTCACCATTCCCTCTTCCTGGTACATTCTGCCTTCCTCTGTCCACAGAGCTTTAAATATTTGCTCTCTAGTCCTTTGTCCCAAGGTCATCTTTTCCTTGAGATCTTACACAGTCTCTTAAAAATGGCAATCTGTGTGGCACCTGGGTGGCTCAGTCATTTCAATGTCCAACTGGTGATTTCTGCTTAGGCCATGATCTCACAATCAAGAAATCAAGCCCCACATTGGGCTCAGTGCAGAGTGTGGAGGCTGCTTGGGATTCCCTCTCTCTCTGCCCTTCCCCCACTCATTCTACCCCTTCTCTCTCCCTGAAAATAAGTAAACTTTAACAAAATTTTAAAAATAAAATAAAATTTTTTACCCACCTCACCACTCCTTATTATCCTCCATTACTTAATTTTCCCCATATCACTTATTCATATCTGACGATGCTGCATACTGCTTATTTATTTTGTCATCCCAAAAAGAATGTGTACTGCATCAGAGCAAATGGAGGCTCTTTGCTGTTTGCTGATTTATTCCTAAAGTCCAGAACAGTGACTGGCACGTAGAAGTTATTTAGTAAATATTTTATGAATGTGGGGACAGTTGAGTGCATGGATAAAAGATTAATATTATCTATTGCAAAACTAAATTACAGTTGAAATACAGTTTTAATACATTCCTTCTGATAAATTCAGAGGGAAATCCCCATGTTATCTTTGGATAGTACAAACCATGTTTTTGGACTCAGGTGCCACATCCACATTGACATTAACTTTTTATAATGTTTTCTTAACCCCTCACTGTTGCCTTGAGCTTTACCCTCACCTCTCTGATAGACAAAGCATAATAACGTTTCTTAGGTATTATACATTCAATGTACCCGAAATCTCATTGTATGCCCTCAAACCTACTCATTGTGTTTTATGCTGTCTCAGAAATTGACAACAGCTCTTGCCCAAACCAGATACGTTGCAGTTTTCCTAAAATCCTCCTCCATCAGGTCTAAGCACGTCTCAGCACGCCAACAATAAGCAATGCAGGGATTGCTTATCTTCCCAAGAAATTATGGTGAGATAACTTTTGAGAAAGAAATTTGTTTTGCTTTGTTTTCGGTTTTCCTCTGCTTATCGATACTAAGCAGTAGAGTAGACCCATAAGTACTTTCTTGCCCCAGGAATTTT